TAATTACTCTACGATAAGTGCAAATACTGCAATGTCATGCAAGTGGCATAGAATTGGAAAAGGGTCAGAAAAGGGCAGACAACATTATCAAGGGGTAGAGCAGCTCCCCTAGGAAGGAAGATTGCAGCATTTGAGACTTTTTCGCTTAAAGAGAAGGTGAATAAGAAATGACACAATGAACGTTTCTAAAATAATGCAGGAAGAGAGTGAAAACTTCCCACCTCTCTCTCGTAACATTAAAACTCATGGATGTCCATTGAAGCAGAATCTTGGAAGATTCAGGGCAGAAAAACTTTTTCACCCAGCGCATGGCGAAACCATGGAACTCACTAGCTTCGTAAGTGTGTTACCCCGAAATTTTGTTTGGTCCAGCCAGTCGAAACTTCCTGTTTCCTCCTGGGCTGGAGCATCCTTCCTTTTGCATGTGACTGGAGGTGGGTGTGACGTTACCTGTCCAGGTAACAAAAGGGAAGTCACGCAGCGCACCTCCTCTCTCTTTGACTTCCTCCCTTGTTGGAGCAGCCTTTTAGCTAGAAATGCTCTGTTGGCTCTCAGTCAACGGAGGACACTGCGATTATCCCCATATGGGATAGATCCACATGTATATACTTTGTAACTAAGTCTGCCTTCAGGGATCCAACTGTGAACTGATGATGTGAGTAAACTTCTTTTATATACTTTACACAAGATTGTGGCGTGTTTATTATTTTAAGAGGGATATAAGGGAACTTACCAGGAATCTAATATTGAGAGGCTTAAACAAGCCTGCAACCAGCTATCTGCTGTGTGTCTAAAAGGGGAATGTAAAACTCTGCTAAGTTATAGAACTTGCTAGCACAAGTTAGGAAGGATATTAATAAACAATATATCCTCTCCTGCCTCCCTGAACATTCCCACAAAAGGCGACTACCGTGGTACCTCGGGTTACATAAGCTTCATGTTACATACGCTTCAGGTTACAGACTCCGCTAACCCAGAAATAGTGCTTCAGGTTAAGAACTTTGCTTCAGGATGAGAACAGAAATCGTCCTCTGGCGGTGCGACTGCAGCAGGAGGCCCCATTAGCTAAAGTGGTCTTCAGGTTAAGAACGGACCTCCGGAACAAATTCAGTACTTAACCCGAGGTACCACTGTATGGGGTTGCGGTGCTCATCTCTCTTTTCAGGCTGAGGGAGCTGGCGTTTGTCCACAGACAGCTTTCCAGGTCATGTGGCCAGCATGACTAAACCACTTCTGGTGCAATGGGACACCGTGACAGAAACCAGAGCGCATGGAAACACTGTTTACCTTCCTGCCACAGTGGTACCTGTTTATCTACTTGCACTGGCATGCTTTCAAACTGTTAGGTTGGCAGGAGCTAGAACAGAGCAACGGGAGTTCACTCCGTCGTGGGGATTCTAACCGCTGACCTTCTGATTGGCAAGCCGAAGAGGCTCAGTGGTTTAGACCACAGCACCACACGCAAGCTGTGTGCCATTGAGGGTCCTGCTTGCAGAGGAGCCCATCAACGTACACTCCAATGCTCTGGTTGCCCTTTCTGTCTTCTACCAAATGGGATGCAATGTGATATTCTGCAGCACGGGAGCTTGAATGCACAGAACTTGGGGGGGGGGGGGCTGGCAGGTGCAATCCGGATACAAAACTCATCTGTTATGCAGATTTAAAGAGAGTCTCGGAGCTAGTGATTATGCAGAATCATCTATAAAATGCTGACCATCAGAAAGGAATGGGGTGGGGCAAACGAGGAGTTCTCTGCTCTTGAAATTCCTTTCCCCTGCAACCTCCCCGTCTCTGCACAGCTGGGCTAACAGGAAAGATGGTTCGCATTACTAGAAAGGATTGCAAGCGGGGGTGGGGGCGGCAACACACATTTTCGGCAATCTGAACCCATCCTTTTAAAAAAGCACTGCGGGTTTAAAACAGACACCAAAGAACAGTAACTTGAGAAACTCAGCCTAAAGGGCAAATCCATTATTAAAAAACCAATCTATTATCCTATATACCTATTAGCAAAGTCAAAGCCGGATTTGGGATAATAATAGTCTGCTAGGAACTTTCCTCTGGTTACAGGGATACGGATGGGGATCGCATTAAAGCAAAGGACGCAAATGATTCGGGTAATTGACTCCCCAAACCAGATAAAATTTGACAAGAGAGAAAAGCAGAACACGGACGACACTTTTTGAAACTTCTGGCTGCACTTTCTTGAAACCAGACGTTCCCAGCCATTGGCTGCGCAGGTGAAGCGCAAGGGAATGTTTATGAACATTCCATGTGCTCATGAGTTATCTTTTCGAAGTGTCATCCCATTAGGTGCGTTTCTGGGGGGAAATTGCAGGAAAGGGAAGACGCAGCAGTATCACAACTGGAGTCAGTAGACTGTGACTCATTCATTCATTCATTTATTATTTTCTGCATTTATATCCCACCTTTTCCCCTCTACCCCTGCCAGGAGCTCAAGGCTCAAGTATATGGTACTCCCCGCCTCATTTAATCCCCACAACAGTCCTGCGAGGTAGGTTAGGCTGAGAAGCAGTGACTAGCCCCCAAGCTCACCCAGCGAGTTTCATGGCAGAGTCAAACCCTGATCTCCCAGGTCCTGGTCTGGGAGCCCAGGGTTCATTCATTCATTCACATTGGATGTTAGAACTGATAAATTAACTGATTGACATAAACCAGCTATATTAACTGATTAATTTGGCTGATTAACATATTATACCCCTTTTAAATGTGTTTTTTTCGGGGGGGGGGGTTTATTGACATGTGATTTTGTTGTTGTTCTTGTTTTTATTATGTATTTTGTGTTTTTATTATGCATTTTTATGTTATGAACCGCCCTGAGATCTATGGATGAAGGGTGGTAGACAAATGTAATAAATAATTTCAAAAGGACAGCTTCCTTTAAAAAAAAATATGTAAATGGTGTCGTGGTTAAGAGTGGTAGACTCATAATCTGGGAAACCGGGTTCGCTTCCCCGCTCCTCCACATGCAGCTGCTGGGTGACCTTGGGCCAGTCACACTTCTTTGAAGTCTCTCAGCCCCACTCACCTCACAGAGTGTTTGTTGTGGGGGAGGAAGGGAAAGGAGAATGTTAGCCACTTTGAGACTCCTGAAGGGGAGTGAAAGGCGGGATATCAAATCCAAACTCCTCCTCCTCTTCTTCTTCTTTTCATTAAAGTTTTTTTGTGTTCCAAACCAAACAGATAAATTCAAGACAGCTTCTTATTACTTTTATTCCTATCAATATTGGCAGAAATGTGAGCTCTTTTAGATTCTGGACATTTTCAGATTTTGATTTTTGAAATTCAGTTTGTGGGGAGGAGTTCTTGAAAGCAGGATGGCTCTGAATATCAGTTGTTGGGAATTGCAGGTGGACTGAGAGTGTAAAAGGTAAAAAGGCAAAGGACCCCTGGACGTTTAAGTCCAGACAAAGGCGGCAACAGGACACTGTGACGGAAACCAGAACGCACGCACTGGCATGCTTTTGAACTGCTAGGTTGGCAGGAGCTGATTGGCAAGCCCAAGAGGCTCAGTGGTTTAGACCACAGTGCCACCCGCATCTTTGTAGGCAGAGTGTGTAGGTTTTGCACAAGCATCTATTTGGCCACTGTGAGACAAGGATGCTGGAACAAATGGACCACTGGCCTGATCCAAACAATGGATGTATTTTAAATGTTTGTGACCAGTTGATAAGCAATTTGTAGACAGCCTCAGAGGAATCGTGGACCAGAAGCTGAGGAAGGATTGCATACAATGGTTTGTTTGAGGTAGACGAATCAATGGTCTGCCAAATCCATGCAGTGTGGGAGCCACCCACCAACTTCTGTTTAAAATCCCCCACTGAATGAGGGCCCACCACCTTCCAAGTCTATTCTGCTGCTGAACTCCTCTTACCATCAGAAAGGTCTTCCAAATATTTAGTGGGAACCTCGGTTATTGTAATTTGGCTTCCAGCGTTCCCCCTTGCAGTGCCTTGATTTCATGAAATCGTGGAGTTGGAAGGGACCATGAAGATTATTATTATTATTTATTGAATTTATATACCGCCCTATTGCAGGGGGTTCGATCATCTAGTCCAGCCCACTATGAAGTGGGAATCCTTTGCCCGATGTGGGATTCGAACCTGCAACCGTGAGATTAGGTGTCTCATGATGCTATACAGACTTGAGCGCTGCCACGCTTGAGCAGGGAAAGATTGCTGGCGAAAGATTCCTTCATTGCAGGGGGTTGGACTAGATGACCCACGTGGTCCCTTCCAATTCTACTATATGTTATATGGTATATCATGTCATATTATATATGTTTCCTTGACATGGCATGTCAACTAATTGTGGCCTAGGGTTTACAGCGAGGCTCACATGGGCAAGTGAGAGAAGAAGTTGGTGCAGCAAGTGACTCTCCATTTCAAGGTCGTGGGTTCGAGTCCTACATTGGGCAAAAGATTCCCTGCATCGCAGCGGGTCGGACTAGACGACCCTCGAGGTCCCTTCCTTGCAACTTTGCGATTCCATGATTCTAACCAACGTCCAAGCTGCTCTGCAGACTCTCTTCCCCCGCCACTCCGTCCGCGCGCCCCTCGCCGCGGCGTCTGGCCGGCTGGCTCTGGGCCGCGGCCGCTTGGCGCGCGTGACCTCCAGGGGGGCTTCCTTCGCCGCCGCCGGGGGGCGGGAGAATCGGAGGGAGGGAGGGAGAGAAGGAGGGAGACGGGGAGGCGCAGCGCCCGAGCAGCCGGGAGAGGGCGAGGGGAGGAGCCGGGAAGGGAAAAGGGGGCTTGGGAGGAGAGCGAGCCGAGACGCCGCAGAGGAAGGAGGCAGCCCGGGCGCTCCGGGGAGAGGCGGCGGCGGCGGTGGGGCAGGGATGCGCTTGCCGGGGGGCTGCCAGATCCCGGTGCCACGGGGCTCCGCGCGCTGAGCGCCTCGGGGATCTGCGGAGCGCATCTTCCTCGCTCGCCCTCGCGCCCGGATCTCCATGCTCTGATCGGGGGAGTGCCGGCTCGGGGATGAAGCAGGCGATCGCGGAGCCCGGGCAGCTGCAGGGCCCCCCGGCGTCGTCGGGGCGGGAGCCCGAGGCCCGGTGGCCGCGCGACGGCGCCAAGAGCGAGGCGAGCGAGGCGGAGCGGCTGCGCACCCGCGAGCGCCTGGAGGCCACCCTGGCCGGGCTGGCCGAGCTGGAGTTGCTGCGCCAGCGCCACGAGCTGCGCGTCAAGCGGCTGCTGGCCGCCGCGCCCACCGATGCCCGGCCGGGGGGCAGCGGCTCCGGGGAGACGGCGGCGGGAGAGGCAGCCGCGCCAGGGGTCGCCGCCGCCGCCCCGCGCAGCCTGGAGGAGAAGTTCCTGGAGGAGAACATCCTGCTTCTGCGGAGGCAGCTGGTGAGCCCAGGGGCGCAGCGCAGCGCGGCGGGGGCGCGGCGGAGGCGCAGCGCAGCCTGGCGGGTGGGGCGGAGGGTCGCGGAGAGCCCCCCTTGCGGCGGAAGGAGTAGGTGCCGCCACAGCCGTCCTCCAGCCCCCGCACCTCTTTGCAGCGCACGGGGCGCGCGGCGAGGGGACTTCTGAGCGCGTGCAGAAAGCGCCTCGTCTCCATCCGGGCGCACGTGGGAGTTGGCAATCGGGTGTCTATTTTCGTCTCCTTTGGGAGGCCCCCCTTGTCTGAGCCTTCCCTCGGGTAACGGCTGCTCTTTATTAAGAGTCCTGAGCGCCGGATTCGTTGGGTTGCAGATCAGGAGCGCCTCAGAGAGAGGCGGTTTGCTGGGGATAAAAAGAGGTTTGTCTTGGGCGCTTCAGAAATCTTCCCTGCTGGATATACACTTGGAGATTTTTTGTTTTAGAGCTTTTCCATTGGGAGCGGAATGACCGGTCACTTCCATACAGAGCGAGTCCGGGGGTAGGGACACACCTTTGCTTTCTTAGCACCCCCCAAAAGCTTATGGGGTGACTCTAGATGGGTGGGGGGAAGAAGGAAAGAAAGGGCAAGCGCCAGCTCATTGGTGAGGGTGTGTGTGAGATCGAGTGTGCATGCAGAATAAAACCGATCTGACTGTCTCAGTCGGTTAGAAGTCAGTGGCAGGCAGCCCCATTGCAGGGGATTTGAGGGAGCAGAGTGTGGATCTAGGCACTCACCCGTGGCCCATACAAAATGTGGGGACACCCCCTTTCTTGTATCAGTTTATGGGAGACGCAGGGGCACTGTGTGATTTGGCGTCTCCCAGTGCTCCAAAACATCAGAGCTGCAGGATGCAGAATAGACACCAGTCTGTCTCAAAGAATCGAATGGTTCTGTCTGAGGCAATCTCCGGGTAGTATCCTAGTGCTGAAATCAGAATGGTAATTATTTTTAAAATCTGCTCTATCCTAGGCAGGACAGCCAGCCTCCTGCTCCTGTTCTCTGGCCTCCCCTTTGCTCATCCTCTTTGGGGTCTAACAATAGCAGCCATAGCTGCTAGTATGTAGTGATTAATTACTGCAGCTTCCAAATGAGGTGGGGAGGGAGCTGTGGGTGGGTGTGTTTGCCACCGCACTGCACTGAAAGTGACCTTAGGGAATGGCATTTCCTTTTTTTCCTTCCTAAATTCAGTGTTTTTCCTTTCGTCTTTTCGTGGAAGATTTGGGGAGGGCACTTGGCGAAGAGTGTATCGCTAGCTCGCTGTATTCCTTGGGCACGGACTCCAGTATTAGATTGCCTGCTGCATGGAATTAATTTGCCTCCTGCAGATGCTGTTAAGGGACTGTGTGTCCGTGTTGGCAAGAGCGGACATGAGGGCCAGGAAGGAAGCATTTATCTTATTGAGTTTCTGTCCTTGCTGGGGCCTTTCGGAGATTGCTTTTGTTAGAATCGTAAAAGGGGAATTAGGAAGAACTGGGCAAAATGATTAGAGCATCACCTGATCACTGTAGTCTATTTCTGTAGTCAACTCTTAGGCGTCCAAGAACGCGGTTCTGGGTACCTGGATTAAGCCTGGCTCAAAGGAAGCTTGCCTTAAATTGAGGCAGACGTTGGCCCATCTAGCTTAGTACCGCTTGCACTGGCTGGCAGCAGCTCCCCAGGGTTTCAGATGAAGGATGTTCGTGGAGAGGCTGGGGATTGAATTTGGGACTTTTCTACATGCAAGGCAGACGCTGTGCCTCTGAGCTTACAGCCCTGCCTGATCTGGGAGGAGGAGAACCTGCAGAGAACAATGGGTGCCAGGGAAATTCTCCTGCACAAGCCTCACTGAAATGAATGGGAACGGCGCTGCTCTTGCATGCTTTCCACTCTGTAAAGCCGGCGGGAACACCTTCTGCAGCGCCGCTAAGAAATACACTGGCAGCAAAGGCATGGGAATTGGCTGGTGCTCCCCTAGACTGGATCCTGCTGCTGCATTCCAGTGGGGATGGTGCAGGAGCAAAGGGATCTTTGCCCACTGCAGCGAAGGAGGGTTTCCCTTCCTTTCCCGTGCGCAGCTTGCAAGGCAAGAGGTTCCAGCTGGCTTGCGACTGCTGGCACCCAAGGCCTTTCTGTGTGCTCCGTTCCAGTGGAGGTTTGTGCAAGGGAAGTTTCAGGGGAGCTGTTACTTTTGCCACAATGAGAAAATAAAGGATTGTCAGACTCGAGTCTCTTGCCCTTGGCAGCTTGTTAAGCGAGGCTGTTCGTGTCTTCTGTGCCACGACTTTCTCTGCCAAGGAAGGCGAGGTCTATGCGCCGGGGCTGGGGGGTGGGGGACGAAAGCAGCTCAGCTTCTGCAGTCAAAGTCAGTGAAGCCAAGAATCACCCCACCTCAGTAAAAATAGATGGAAATGTTGCTTATGGCCCAACAATGTGCTCGACTGGTATGTTTGATTTTGAACATGATATTAAAAGGCAGTGTGTTGCGCATGCAAGAGTAGGCAAGGAGCATTGGAGTGGACCAGGAGCACTGCAGTGGGGAACATTACAGGGGGTCACGAAATAATAATAATAATAATAATAATAATAATAATAATAATAATTTATTTATTTCCCCAGCCACTCTGGGCAGCTTCCAACAAAGTATTAAAATACAGTAGTCTGTTAAACATTAAAAGCTTCCCTAAAGAGGGCTGCCTTCAGATGTCCTCTAAAAGTCTGGTAGTTGTTCTTCTCTTTGACATCTAATGAGAGGGCGTTCCACAGGGCGGGTGCCACTACCGAGAAGGCCCTCTGCCTGGTTCCCTGTAGCTTTGCTTCTCGCAGGGAGGGAACCGCCAGAAGGCCCTCGGCACTGGACCTCAGTGTCTGGGCAGAATGATGGGGGTGGAGATGCTTCTTCAGGTATACTGGACCGAAAAGGGGCTGGGTGATGGGTGACAGTGAAGGACCCACAAGTAGCGGTCACTTGCTAGAACAAACAAGAAGCCTGCAGCTAGGAAGCAGAATGGTCAGTTCAAATAGCTTCTGCTCCTCACTTTATCAGTCCTGGTGTTCCCCTTACCCCGCTTGCCAGGTCACTGTTGCACCGACAGTAGAAGTAGCATGCAAGATTCCCCATCCTTCAAACTCTTAAAGTATATACAACAGCTCTTTCAGGATCTAGAACCTGAATGCCCAGTCCCAGCCAAAGGGACAGCTTTCGCTTCCCTCACAGGAGTTGGACTGCGCATGTTCCAGCAGCTCTGTTCCTGGAGCAGTTGGAAAGTTTGTGGACATTCTGTGCCGTCACACAGCTAGTGTCCAGGCAGTGTTAGAAACTGGGATAGAAAAGCTAGGAGCCAAATGGCTTCTGGGACCTGGGTTGTGGGTGCCAAAACAGAATGTCTGGTCGCTACTGAAGCGGGGGGGGGGGGGAGGGGTCGGGGTCAGCAACACTTTTTATTTTGTATTCTGATAAGCATGGACTAATTCACATAAGTGACACATTGTTAATATCACATTTTTAGCAGAAATGGTTAATACATGTTTAATTCGGTGTTTACAATAGAAATATTGGTACCATACTTCAGTTTTCAAAACATTCTACTCTTTATTGTTAAATTCCTTAATGTATTGTCTATCCTTAACATATACAGTGGTACCTCGGGTTACAGATGCTTCAGGTTACAGACGCTTCAGGTTACAGATGCTTCAGGTTACAGACTCCGCTAAGCCAGAAATAGTGCTTCAGGTTAAGAACTTTGCTTCAGGATGAGAACAGAAATTGGGCTCCAGCGGCGCGGCGGCAGCAGGAGGCCCCATTAGCTAAAGTGGTGCTTCAGGTTAAGAACAGTTTCAGGTTAAGAACGGACCTCCGGAACAAATTAAGTTCGTAACCCGAGGTACCACTGTACTTTGAGGCTTCAACGCACATACATTTCAGTAATCCTTGAGTGTCAGCCAAGCGCAAAAAATGGCGCCCGGACTTTTGGAGGTGCTCGCAAATGGAGAATTTTTAGGTGCAAAATGCTCCTGGTGCCCTGCTAGTTTCAAACCCTGTGTCCAGGGCTTTATTACCATAAGCACAACAAGGTACAGGTGTGTGTGGAACACCTGTTTTGCAGGTGTGAGCTGGGAACTGGGCGATGAAGGAATGCAAAAAACTCATGGGCGTTTTTAGCAGCTGTCATTGCAACCACTGCCATTGGATAGTTCAGCCAGGAAAGAGAACCGGGGGGGGGGGGGGCAGTAATTCGGAACATAGACTTGCCCATAGTTTCAAAGAAGTGTTTGTTGACAGTATGTTGCAGATTGTGTTATGGAAACCACAGGATGGGAAAGGGCTGCTGTGCTCGGATCCAGCGTCCGGGCTTCCGACTCGAGCATCGGAGCATCGAGAGTCTTACAGAACAGAATGCTGGATCATTTAGCCAGGCTCTTATGAAGGCAGGCAGGTTTTGCACTAGCAATAATCTTGCTCCATGGGTCCAGATGTTCTGCGCATGCACATCAGCACCAGAGTCTCCTCCAGCCTGCATGATGCAGGTCAGGGCCTCACTGTCCCAGGGGGCATATTTTTGAAGGCCATCTTAGGAGATCTCCATGGTTGCCATTGATCTCCTTGGTAGATGCCAGGCTGAAAGCAACCACGCTTATGTTCCTCCAGAATCCCAAGCCAGCTTCCTCTGTGTTGTAATGCCATCTTTTATGCCCGCTATTCCTTGAAAGAACCGGAAGGAATCAGAGCTGTGGGCAAGCAATAGAATACAGGTCTTGTCTCCTGTCCTTCAAAGGCAGATGGAACTGGGTGGGGGGACATCAGAAGGACCTGATTTTCACGATGGTAATCCTGATGCTTATGGGAAGCCCATAAGCGGTACCTGAGCACAACTGCCCTTCGGCCCAACTGCGCATTCAGGCAGCTGGCATTCAGAGGAATACTTCTTCCTGCAGTGGTGGTACGACATCGCCCTTGTAACTGGTAGCCATTGACAGCCATATCCTGCATCAGTTGGTCTGATCCTCTTTGGAAGCCACCGGGCTTACAACAGTGCGTGTGAAAAGGGTCTAGGGGTCTTGGTGGACCACAAGCTGAACATGAGCCAACAGTTGGATGCAGCAGCAAAAAAGGCTAATCTTATTTTGAAACAAAATAAAAAAATTCCTTCCAGTAGCACCTTAGAGACCAACTAAGTTTGTTATTGGTTTGAGCTTTCGTGTGCATGCACACTTCTTCAGTTGTATACCAATAACAAACTTAGTTGGTTTCTAAGGTGCTACTGGAAGGATTTTTTTTAATTTTGTTTCTACTACGGCAGACCAACACCTGTAACTACTTCTTTTTTTGAATCTGGTTCTTTCTGCCCAAGTGCAGAACCTTACATTGTTGGAGCCCCCAGTCAGTATGACCAATGAGAGCTGCTGTTCAGCAGACTTGGGAGGGAGGGAGGGAGGGAGGTTGAGAAATGAGGGCCTAGCCTCACTCAGCCTCTTTCCATTTATTTTAATATACAGTGGTACCTCGGGTTACATACGCTTCAGGTTACATATGCTTCAGGTTACAGACTCCGCTAACCCAGAAATATTACCTTGGGTTAAGAACTTTGCTTCAGGATGAGAACAGAAATCGTGCAGCGGCAGCGTGGTGGCAGTGGGAGGCCCCATTAGCTAAAGTGGTGCTTCAGGTTAAGAACAGTTTCAGGTTAAGAACAGACCTCTGGAACGAATTAAGTACTTAACCCGAGGTACCACTGTATATATTAAAGGTAAAATAATAAAATCGAGGGCGGGGGTGGACTCACAACCATACTTTAAAACATACAAGATATAGAATACTGAAACAGAATAAAGTTGCCTCAGTTTTCCGAGCATCTGGGTATGCTTGTCTGAACAGGAATGTTTTAGGAGGTGCCAAAAAGAGAACAGGGAAGGCGCATGCTTGAAAATATTCAATTTGATACTACAGGATCAATTCAACACTACAGGATTGAAATTTCATTCTGAAAAGGCTTGGATGGATGGATAGCTAGCTAGCTAGCTGGATGATGATAGATAGATAGATAGATAGATGTCTTCAGTGTGCATCTAAATGAGTGGATTGTTGATTCATTACTAATGTTAATGAATGAATGAAAGGGGCCACCACACAGAAGGCCCTGCTTCTGGTGGACACAAAGTGAACGGTGGAAACTGTTGATGCCACCAGGAAGTCAGTCTCTCCAGTAGCCCATTCCCAAGTTATTTAATAAAATCGTAGAATTGTACAGTTGGAAGGGCCTCCAAGGGTCATCTAGTCCAACCCCCTGCAATGCAGGAATTTCAATTAAGCATCTATGCCAGACGGCCATCCAACCTCTGCTGAAAAACCTCCAAGGAAGGAGAGTCCACCACCTCCCGGGGGAGACTGTTCCACTGTCAAACAGCTCTTACGGTCCCAAAGTTTTTCCTGATGTTTATTCGGAATCTCCTTGGACTTTTAAAATAAGAAACACCCCTTTGAGCCTTGCCCACTTTGAATCTGCCCTGGCAGCAGATAGACACCTTCAACTGATGGCGTTTAGCTTCATCTTTTGATTCTGTGATTCATCCTACTTTTTCTCCTTGCCCTACCTGCCAGGCTGCTCTGATCAGCTTGGCCTCTGGTTTTGCACCTGCTCCAGCCAGCTGCTTTTTGCACAGAAAGGGGCTTCCCTTCTGCCTGCCCAGAAGTGGCAAGGAAGCCTCCTTAACAAATGTGATGGTCTCATGGGTGCCATAGATCGGAAGCTGCGTCGGACATTCGGGTTCTGAAAAACGTTTGAAAATCGGAGCATTTACTGTACTTCTGGGCTTTCGGCGTTCAGGAGCCGAAACATACGGTAACAGAGGTGTTCAGGAACCAAGGTTTGACTGTATCACAGTTCACAAACAAAAAATAAAAATGGAACAGAACCAGTGTTAGAAACTCAGATATATATGCTAGGCGCCAAATGGCTGCTTAAACCAAGGTTACAGTAGCCAAAACGGAATTTCTACCTGCTATTTGGGGGCAAAACAATAAAGTCTTATTTTTCAAATGATGGAAGGGTTTTGTTTCAAATGACGGCTTTGTTTCAAATGACGGAATGGCCAGCGTGGTGTAGTGGTTAAGAGCGGTGGACTCGTAATCTGGTGAACCGGGTTCGCTTCCCTGCTCCTCCACATGCAGCTGCTGGGTGACCTTGGGCTAGTCACACTTCTCTGAAGTCTCTCAGCCCCACTCGCCTCACAGAGTGTTTGTTGTGGGGGAGGAAGGGAAAGGAGTTCAAAGTTAGCCACTTTGAGACTCCTTCGGGTAGTGATAAAGCGGGATATCAAATCCAAACTCCTCCTCCTCCTCCTCTTCTTCTTCTTCTTCTTCTTCTTCTTCTTCTTCTTCTTCTTCTTCTCCTCCTCCTCCTCCTCCTCCTCCTCCTCCTCCTCCTCCTCGGTTAGACATCTGGCTAGTTAAGACGACAATTTGAGCTCTAGGCTAAGAACTTTGAGAACTTAAAGAAGGAAAGTCACTTGACCCAGGGACAGTCCACAAATATATTTGGCCAATTCCTGCCTCTTTTTCTTAATGTTGACACGGACCATTCATAGCGTAAGAATCTTCTTCACAACTGGGAGCAGGGCAGTGGGGTGGGGAGAAGTGAAGACAAGCAGGAGCAATTAACTAGAACATTGTTCACTGCTCCTGCTCAGGCTGCACAGAAAAAATGGCATTTTGGTTCCTGAAATTCATTCCGATTGTGCAGATACAGATAACAGATACAGTTCTACAGGATGGGCTATTAGTGTGTGAAAACAGTCCAGATCCAATGATCTCCAGATGGTGGAGACATCAGGCACCATCCTGGCACCCAGGAATCTTCACTTGGTCGCAAGCGGCCACTAGCCAGGAGCAAAATGTCCCTGGCGAATTTCGAACAAAAGAGGTGAGTCCTGCAAAACAACTGTCAAAAGGCCAGAGTAAAGAGTTGTGTCTTCAGCATGCGGTGAAAACTGTACAAAGAGGACGTCAATCTTTGGCATTCTCTCCCCCCCCCCCAGTAGTCTTCTCAAATGTTGCATTGTAAGGTCTTTGCAGGCAGAGACCTGTGTCTTTTGCTTAAGGAATCCTGCAAAGCTCTTCATAGGTTGACTGTGCTGCATAGATGACAGCAGGCAGATAGATGCCAGAGGACTCTGAAGAGCCCTGTCACATTGATAGGAGCCTGATGGATGGCTCACAGTCGGACCAGCCATCTGGACGTCACGGGAAATGAATCTCGTGAGCAGCAGCTCAGCGTGGTGTGTGCATGTGGGGGAAGGGGGACATAACGCATGGATGTGCTTTGTGCTAATGCACATCGCAGAATCGTAGAGTTGGAAGGGACCCAAAGGATCATCTAGTGGAACCCTCTGCCATGTAGTGAATCAAGGTGCATTATCTCAGGGATGGGGAACTCCTGGCTCTCAAGATGTTGTTGGACTCTTACAAGCTGCAGCTAGCATGACCAGTGAACCAGAGCCAGGGCTTTTTCGGCTGTGGCTCCGATCTGGTGGAACGCTCTGTCACAAGAGACTAGGGCCCTGCGGGACTTGACATCTTTCCGCAGGGCCTGCAAGACAGAGCTGTTCCACCAGGCCTTTGGCCAAGGCACAGCCTGACCCCCTCCTTTGGCAGTCCTCACAGAACTCTAGCCCAATGGTTGTCATTAATCTGATTGGAATTAATTTTATAATGAAATGATTTTAGAATGTTTTATCATTTTACTGTTGTTAGCCGCTCTGAGCCCAGCTTCGGCTGGGGAGGGCGGGATATAAATAAAATTTATTATTATTATTTGCCTTTATATCCTAGGCTCTTAAGGGTGGTGCGTTCGGTAATCCATAGTTCCTATTTTATTCTCACAACAACCGTGTGAGGTGCTTTAGACTGAGAGGGTGTGGCAGGCTCACGGCCACCCAGGTCTTAGTCTAATAATAATAATAATAATAATAATAATAATAATAATAATAGATGATTTATACCCTGCACATCTGGCTGAGTTTCCCCAGCCACTCTGGGCGGCTCCCAACAGAATATTGAAAACACGATAAAACATCAAACATTAAGAACTTCCCTAAACAGGGCTGCCTTCAGATGTCTTCTAAAAGTCAGATAGTTGTCTGACACTTTTAACCACACTGTACTCGACAGCCTCAACTTTTTTTCTCTCCAGTAGTTTCTGTTGAAGGCCAGAACTAGCACATGATGACCCAGTGTTAGAAACTCAGGTATACAAGCTAGGCGCCAAATGGCTCGTTAAACCAAGGTTACAGTCACCAAAATGGGGTGTCTGGTTGCCATTTTTGGACAAGACAGCTCTAAAGTCTTATTTTTGAAATGATGGACTGGCTGCGATTGATTTATCAGTTAAACACCTGGCTAGTTCAGATGACAACCCTGAGCTAGGTTAAGAGCTTTGATGATAACTTAAAGCATTCATAACATAAGAATATTCTTCACGACTGTGAGCAGGGCAGCGGGGAGGGGTAAGTGAAGACAAGCTACAGAAAATGACATTGTTCACTGCTTTTGCTCAGGCTGCACCAAAAAACAACACCACAATTTTGGTTCCTCAGATTCCTTCTGATTGTGCAGATAAAATATAACTGATAGAATTCTACAGGATGGGGTATTAGTGTGTGAAAACAGTCAAGACCCAGTGATCCCCAGGCACGCACCTCCAGGTGGTGGAGACGTCAGGCACCATCCAGGCATCTTCACTTAGTTGTTGACACTTTCAATGAACTCTTAATAGGTTTGTGAGACAGGACTTCTCCTTGCAGAAGCCATGCTGGCTCTGCTTCAGCAAGGCTTGTTCTTCCATATGCTTGGCTTTTTTATCTTTGCCAATACTCCCCATCCCATCAGTTTTCCCAGGATGGACGTTAAGCTAGCAAGCCTGCCATTTCCCTCTGGATCCCTTTTTAAAAAATTAGTGTTACATTGGCTACTTTCCAGGCCTCAGGTGTGGAGGCTGATCTGAGGGACAAGTTGCATATTTTGTTAGAAGAGTAGTAATTTCACTTTTGAGTTCTTTGAGGACTCTTTGAGTAGAGGCTATCTGGACCCAGCGTTTTGTCAGCTTTTATTTGGTCTGTTCGGCCTAGAACTTCATCTCTTCTCACCGCTGTCTGCCTCAGTTCCTCAGATTCCCAGAGAGTTGTCTGTTTACTTAGAAAGGGCCACCATGATCGGATTTGAGAACATGACCATGTAATCCTATTAGCTGGGGAGTCCCGGAGAAAGCACCAAATCTTGGGACTTGCGCTACTTGAGTAAGCAAGAGTTTGGTCACCGTCCTAGTCCCAGTTAGACGAAGCATCAGCGATGCTGTGTGGGATTTGCCAAAGTTCTCTGCCCGTCACGTAATCCTGGTCTTATGCCTGCTGGAGTGGACACTGGCACTACTAGAAAGGAAATTCTGGCATCATTAGAGAGACGATAGACCTGCCTTGCCAACAGCCTACAAAAGAAACTCAAGTCTGGGAAATCTAATATATTCAGGTCTTCATTTTGCAAGATGCTTTGTATCGCGAAGTTCCTTTTCAGTCTTAATTTAGCTCTTTTGTGCTGGAAAGCATTTGGCATAATATAAATAGCAGCTGCAACAAAATATTGCAGCATGGAATGTTGCTGTTCAGGATTCCACCCGTTGCATTTTCCCTCCTCCCGCACTTGTTCCATCTCTGTCCCCAAACAGCCAGCCAGCAATAATTTTCTTAAGATGATTTTCTATCTTCTAGAAACCTTTGAGGTTCTTCTAAGCATGCGGATGCCCCCTTCTTGAGCATGGGGTGTGCATTTTGGACACAAATGCAACAGCATACACAGCCTGAAGATCAGAAACAGGGGGAGGGATAATAATCTTGTGTCGTACATCATTGTTCGAAATTCAGCAGCTGCTGGGTGCATTTTGCACTTGGCTATCGGCCACTTGCTACCAAGTGAAGATGCCATGATGGCACCTGATTTCTACATAGCTGTCAACTTTTCCCATTTCTTGCGAGGAATCCTATTCGGAATAAGGGACTTTCCCTTAAAAAAAGGGAAAAGTAGACAGCTAGGTTTCTGCAGCCTCTGGAGGCGCATACCTGGGGATCCTTTGACCTTACCTGTTTTCACACACTAACAACATAGCCTTCAGAATTCTGTCTGATATTTTATTTGTACAATCAGAATGAAGTTCAGGAATCAAAAAGTCGTAATCCAGAATGCAGCAGCTAGGCTGGTGACTGGGAACAGCCGCTGCGACCATATAACACCAGTGCTAAGGGATCTTCACTGGCTCCCAGTACGTTTCCGAGCACAATTCAAAGTGTTGGTGCTGACCTTTAAAGCCCTAAATGGCCTCGGCCCAGTATACCTGAAGGAGCGTCTCCACCCCCATCGTTCAGCCCGGACACTGAGATCCAGCGCCAAGGGCCTTCTGGTGGTTCCCTCACTGTAAGAAGTGAAGTTACAGGGAACCAGGCAGAGGGCCTTCTCGGTAGTGGCACCTGCTCTGTGGAATGCCCTCCCATCAGATGTCAAGGAAATAAAGAGCTACACACCTTTTAGAAGACATCTGAAAGCAACCCTGTATCAGAAAGCTTTTAATGTTTGATGTTTAGTTGTGTTTTTATATGTGTTGGAAGCCGCCCGGAGTGGCTGGGGCAACCCAGCCAGATGGGTGGGATATAAATAATGAACTTATTATTATTAAATTATTAGGTTAGGCTGAGAGATAGTAACTGGCCCAGTGTTGTCCAGTGAGCTTCATGTGACTGAGTGGGGATTCGAACCCGCGGCCTCCTAGGTCCTAGTTCAACACTCTAACCACTAAGCCACATGCTGGATATATTCACAGTGTCATAGAATTGGCCTGAGACTGCTAGCTGATTTTCGTTGTGTGGAACCTGAATGACAACATCCCGCAAGCAAAGGCGTTGACATTTTTTTGTCATCAGATCAGACCTGATAAGTTAATGAATTTTCCACCGTTCCCTGTAACATTTTTTTTTCTTCAGAGGAAATGCAGCAAAACAATGATGCGTACAAAGCAATGTAGACAGGCAAGATGATGGAGAGATATAATTATGAGATTCAGCAGGAAAACTGATTGCTCTGACCCGGAGGTTAATGATCGTATTCTAAATACATTCTTTATAGCAGTTTGCATCAAGAACACCTTTGCAAATTTGCTTAAGCTCTCTTGTTATTTTGAGAAAGTAATGCATTTGTGTAACTGAGGATAGTGTAGGGAATTACTGTGTGCCTTTATCCCCCTTTTAACGTTGATCCAGCTCTTGCTTGCATGCTTATAAGCATATATAGATTGCAACAGAGGTTATAACTCAATGCCTGCATTATAAAACACATTCGTAGCCTGACATGTTCAGACCCTGGGTCCTTTACTTTCCTGAAGACTGTATTGGATCAAACACACAGGGCTCCGATTCTGTTGACGTGCCCGGGGGGGGGGGGCGGTACGAGAATCCAGTTAGGAAACTGGGTTTGACTGGGTCCAAAACTGGCGCATCCTCCAGGGACCACTTTTGACAGGTGGGGTTATAACATTCTTTAATATAATAATAATTATAATAAAGCTTCCAGGATCAAGGGGCACAGAAGGTGTTTCTTTTAAAAATGGCTTTGGATGGGATACAACGACATGGGTGGGAGGAAGAGGAAACACTCTCCTTCCTGGTCAGTAAGGCGTGCAGGATTTTAGAAGGCAGCATCATGGGTAGGACTGTACCACAGGCCTCGAACAATGGCCACACCGCACCTGCAAACAAATAAATCCCAGGTGTGTGATGAGTGTAGAAGGGAAGGATTGAGGAGACCAGGCCTGAATCTTCCCAGGAACAGGAGGACAGCATAGATTTGGAAGAGTGGTTTGCAGAGGGGCATAGTTCAGAAGGCAGAAGCTGGGAAATGCTTCATGGGGAACAGCTAGCAGAAGAAACAGTGGAAGACAGAGAGTTAAAAGGTTCACAATCCCTGGAAAGCATCCAACCCCCTTCTCCAAGGACACGGAGAGCTCGGAAAGTGTCAGAACAGAAAGCGCAGAGGGTACAAGCTCAGATTACAAGGCGTAGGAGTGACGTAGTTTAATAGGGATGGAGGGGGTGTAAGCCTTAATTGGGAGCACCACCATTTCTAGGAGACGTGTTCTTTGTTCTTGCATTGTGATTATTAAAGATTCTAACTGGTAAGAAGTTCCTTTCGTTTGATCTTTTGTTTACTACCACAGGGGAGGAAGTCGATTTCCCGAAGCCTGACACTTGGGTCCCTGAAGCAAAGTACCAAGCCCAGTCCTAAGTTTGCAGATCTCTGCTATTGCAGCACTTTTTTCTCTTCCTGACCCATCATCGCTTAGGAGTCTCTTTGTCTTTTCGTTGCTTTTTAGAATTGCCTGCGACGGAGGGACGCGGGTTTGTTAAACCAGTTGCAAGAACTGGACAAGCAAATCAGTGACCTGAGGCTGGATGTTGAGAAGACGGCCGACGAGCAGCTCGAGACGGACAGCCGCCCCAGCTCAGGTAGGAATGAACCAGGGCTATTATTGAAAGAATTGTTTCTGGAACCACAGGAGAGGAGAGTGTTCTTGTGGTCAGGTCTTGCTTGCATGTTTCCCATTGGGGCAACTGGTTGGCCACTGTGATAACGGGAAGCTGGATGAGATGGGCCATTGGCCTGACCCAGCAAGGTTCTTCTTATGGGAATCAGAGAATTGCAGAGTTGGACAGGACCCTGAGGATCATCTAATCCAACCCCCTGCAGTGCAGGAATATGCAGCTGTCCCATATGGAGAATCGAACCTGCAACCTTGGCGTTATCAGCTCTTTAACCAACTGAGCTACCCAAGCTCACTGTTCTGATTCTTCTGGTCATTTTTGCCAATTTGGCATAATCCGTCAATTTAATCTGCCATTCTCCTCTGGTAGGGACTTTATCTTCTTTCCATCTCTGGGCCAATAACATCTGCGCAGCTGTGGTCGCAAACATAAATAGTATTTTTTTCTGCTCCCTTTGGATTTCGGCAGCTAGGATTCCTAAAAGAAAAGCTTTGGGTTGTTGTTTTTTTTAGAAAAAGTTATTTAAAATATTTTTTTCAACTCATCATAAATCATTTCCCAAAATTCTTTTACTACCTTACATGTCCACCACATATGATAAAGGGGGCCTTCTTTTTCCTTACATTTCCTACATACATTTGACACAGTTTTTTTTTAATAAGATAATTATTAAGGTTTTTTGAAATATTACAGTGAAAATGAAAAAGAAAAAAGAAAAATACAAAATAAAAACAGTTAAAAACACACATATTTTCTATTACTTATTTTCCTTTAGCTTGTTTCCCGGACCTCCTCGTACCTCCCTTTTTGTATTCCACTTCAATTTATTGGTTCAGCAAATCCTTACCATTAGATTTTAACCCATTTATAACCCTTTTTTCATATTCTCTTAGAGCATTACAGCTGGAAACCGCTTAATTACTATCCAACATCATTCTATCATTCATTAATTTTACAATATTTCTATAAATAGTCTTTAAATTTCTTCCAATATTCTTCCATTGTAGGGAAGCATCTAAGCAGTTTGCGAGAAATATCAAGATTATCAATAAAACCAGATGAGTGAAAACATTTACACATGATTGACATCAACAGCCAAAAAGATGCAAACACGTCAGCATCTGCAAGTCTCGATAGACTAGTTCCAGCAAAAAATGTTTTCAGCAGGCACCAAAAAGAGAACAGTGAAGGCGGCTGTCTGATTTCAATAGGCAGGGAGTTCCAAAGTTGAATCGTGCTACACATTAAGCGTCGATTCCTTTTCCACCTGTGCATGCAGAGGGCTTTGTGCAGAGAAGGCCGCTGATAGCAACACTGCGAAGGAGACATAAAGTGGACTCGGCTTCTCACAATGTTGCATTGTGGGGAAATGCAGCAATTTTTTGGCCTGTTTAAAATACTGTATTTTTCGCTCTATAGGACGCACATTTTCCCCTCCAAAAGTTAAGGGGAAATGTGTGTGCATCCTATGGAGCGAATGCAGTCTCCTTGGCTTCAGCGATAGCAACGCAAAGCCTCCGAAGCGCAAAAGGTGCGCTCCCTCCACGCTCCAGAGGCTATGTGTCGCTCTCCAGGCTTCAGGGATAGCCACCTGAAGCCTTTGGAGCACAGCGGGAACTCGTGCTGCGCTCTGAAGGCTTTGGGTTCCTTTTGCTGAAGCCAGGAGAGCAAGACTCTCCTGGCTTCAGCAGAGAGGGAGAGTTGCGCAGCGCCCCTTCAGCCAAGGGGCTCCGTTTCTCCTGCCGCTTCGCTGAAGGGGCGCTGAGTAGAGAGGGGGAGAATTCCCCCCCCCTGTTCTTCCCCTCTAAAACAAGGTGCGTTCTATGGTCCGGTGCGTCCTATAGAGCGAAAAATACGGTATTTGCCAGAACGGTATTGTTCATTTCAGCCTCGGTTTATAGCTGCAGCTGAAGTACAGTGGTATATTCTCACTCCCAGGAACACGAGAAACGCTTATGTCCCTGTGGAGATGGCAGTACTGAATCGGTGGCGCACACCCTTCTGGCTTGCACTGTTTATAAAAACTTGAGGGATGAGATTATCACCCCTCTTTTATTGTCCATTCCGGGTCGCCCAACCACTGCCCCAGTGTCCTTTCTCTTGGCAGATCAAGATGAGCAGGCGACAGCAAAGGGTGCAAGGTTTTTAGCTGGGGCAATCAGAATAAGACCCACTTTTTGACTATTGATTCAAAACCTTAAAATGTATTTTATATAATTGACTTTTTATTTCTATTCTTTGTATATCGTATTGTTGTTTTATTGCTATGGCCGATGGCTGACGCAAATAAAGTTCCATTCATTCATTCATTGACATGGCTGTAAGGTGTATTATGTAACGTGTGTTATATAGCCATGTTCAAATATATAAAAGGATGTCACATAGAGGAGGGAGAAAGGTTGTTTTCTGCTGCTCCAGAGAAGCGGACACGGAGCAATGGATCCAAACTACAAGAAAGAAGATTCCACCTAAACATTAGGAAGAACTTCCTGACAGTAAGAGCTGTTCGACAGTGGAATTTGCTGCCAAGGAGTGTGGTGGAGTCTCCTTCTTTGGAGGTCTTTAAGCAGAGGCTTGACAACCATATGTCAGGAGTGCTCTGATGGTGTTTCCTGCTTGGCAGGGGGTTGGACTCGATGGCCCTTGTGGTCTCTTCCAGCTCTATGATTCTATGATTCTATGTGTTTACTTTCCAGCCTTGGCTTTCTCTATCAACTAGGTGTCGCAGGATTAATGGGGTTTTTTGTGTTGTGTTTTTTTAAACAGGCTTCTATGAGCTGAGCGATGGGGCCTCGGGGTCGCTCTCCAACTCCTCCAACTCTGTTTTCAGCGAGTGTTTGTCCAGCTGCCACTCCAGCACCTGCTTCTGCAGCCCTTTGGACACATCCCTGAGTGGCTCTGATGGACGGCCCATGTCTGCAGGTACGGGAAAGGGGGGGGATTCCCTGGAGTGGCTTCGGGGACGGCTTGAGCACCGTGAACCTTTCCCCATTCACCTCTGCATTCTTTAAGTGAATGCAGGAAGTGAGCCATGTGGAACTGGAGGTTGCTTGTGGGACAAAACTTTTGGTTCCGTGCATGGTGGCTGCTGGGTCAATCAGGGTCACACCTGGACTTTGGGGATCAAGCCTACTGATACAGAAGACTTGTTTCTCCAAATAAGAGCTATACAGGTGTGCTTAATAATAATAATAATAATAATAATAATAATAATAATTTATAGCCCGCCCATCTGGCCAGGCCTCCCCAGCCACTCTGGGCGGCTCCCAACAGAATACAGTGGTACCTTGGGTTACAAACACCTCGGGTTGCAAACACTTTGGGTTACAGACTCCGCTAACCCGGAAGTAGTACCTCGGGTTAAGAACTTTACCTCAGGATGAGAACAGAAATAGCGCAGCGGGAGGCCCCATTAGCTAAAGTGGTTCCTCAGGTTAAGAACGGTTTCAGGTTAAGAACCGACCTCCGGAACGAATAAAACATCAAACATTTAAAACTTCCCTAGACAGGGCTGCCTTCAGATGTCTTCTAAAAGTCTAGTAGTTGTTGTTCTCTTTGACATCTGGTGGGAGGGCGTTCCACAGGGCGGGCGCCACTACCAAGAAGGCCCTCTGCCTGGTTCCCTGTAACCTTACTTCTCACAGGGAGGGAACTGCCAGAAGGCCCTTGGATCTGGACCTCAGTGTCCGAGCTGAACGATGGGGGTGGAGACGCTCCTTCAGGTGTACTGGGCTGAGGCCAAGGATCTCTTGTTGTTCAAAGTGAAAGGATGAAGCGAAACCTTTCTGAAAGTTGACTCAGTTTCTATCTTTTAAGGTTTGAGTTTTGGTGGGAACATTCCTATCTCCAGAAACATTTAAAGAAATTGCAGACAGGGGAGCCCTGCCATGACCAGAAGAGCAATATTTAAAATCTAGTATTTGTTAAGGTGGTTGTTGTTTTGCGGGAGAAATCCATGTTTCTGTAGCATTATGGGAAATCTGAATTCTACAGGAAACTGTGTCCTTGAGCATTTCTGGATATGGATTTTGAACTTTGGTTTTTGGAAGGTTAAAATTTCTCAGCCTATTTACCATCTACGGATATTGTTGTTTCCTTTGACAGTGGAGTATTTCCTCACTTTCCCCCATTTCTTCCTTTCAGATCTCATCGGCTGGCTGGAATATAACAAAGGGAACCAGCATGAAGACCCGTCTGTGGGGATGGCCTGCCGAGTGTTGTCCACACCGCACTCTAATTCCCTTGAGGTGGTTGCAGACGTGCATCCAAAATACCAGTGTGACCTGGTGTCGAAAAACGGGAACGACGTTTACCGCTACCCCAGCCCTTTACACGCCGTCGCGGTGCAGAGCCCCATGTTCCTTTTGCCGGTGACAGACAACCCCCCGAGGGAAGAGGCAGAGCACAACGTTGCGGACCTTTGCGTGGGACCCGAGCACGACTCTGCGAAAGCGGGCGCCTCCTGCCTCCCGCATAGCTCTCCTCCCGAGTCCTGTCCCCCAGCCAGCAAGAAAATAGACGGCTACATCTTGAGCCTTGTGCAAAAAAAGACCCCTTTGGTGCGGACTAACAAACTGAGGACGAATCTGAATGCAGACCCTGCCAAAGGGATTTTGAGGCACGGGAGCCTGTGTGTCCGGCAAGCGCCTGGGGTTGCAAGCGGCAGCTCGGCCGCTGCTCTCAAGAACCCAAATCAGGTCTTCCCCCATTCCAGCAGAGCCAGCACACCGCTTGACAGCAGCGCCTTCTCCCCTCTGAAGCAGCATTCGAGAGAAACTGAGCATCTGGAGAGCAAAAAGGTTCCTGCGCCCGTGGTCTTCCCACCAAATGCTAACCACGAACTTCAAAGCCAGCAGGCGGCGAGGAACATCAAACCGCCAGAGCCGCCGCGGTGTCCGGTCGCAAGCAAGGGCGACGTCCCCAAGGAAAGTGGCCAGATTTTTGCGGAGAGCCCTCCCCAACACACAACGCCCCCGAAGGAAAGCAAAACCCTTCAGCTGCCCCGAAAGATCCTGTTCAAAAACAGTGGGGCACAAGCGATCCACGGTGTTTTGCCACCTCAGGAAACCAGGCCTCCGCTGGATTTCAAGAGCGACGGGTCATCCTCTCAGGGCCTGGAGGAAGGCCTGCTGGTGAACGCCAAATACATCCCGGCTCAGCCGCAGACGGTCAGGCTTCACAAGGGCAGCCGGAGCGTCAGGATACTCAAAAGCTCCTTGGTAAAGCACAGATCCCACCTCGTCACCGTGCTGGAAAACGGGCCGCAGGCCGGCAGGGAGAAGGCCAAACCCTCTGGCAAGAAGTGCCGTTTCCCCGACGACCTGGATACAAATAAGAAGCCGAAGAAGGCCGCCGCGAGAGGGAAGAAAAGCGGTCACTTGCTGCCGGAGGCCGCCCTCCTGAGTCGGCCTCCCGGCGTCCTCAAGTCGGCGGTTAGGCCCCACAGCCGGGAGCCGGTGGTGGCAAAACCGAAGCACAAGAGGGCCGACTATCGCCGCTGGAAGCTGTCGGCCGAGGTCTCCTATGAAGAAGCCCTGAGGAGGGCGAGGAGGAACCGGAGGGAAGGCCTTGGGGCCTACCCTCAGGCTCCCCACCCGTACGCCAGCCCCTACGCCTACGTCGCGAGCGACTCGGAGTATTCGGCGGAGTGCGAGTCGCTCTTCCACTCGACGGTGGTGGACACCAGCGAGGACGAGAGGAGCAACTACACCACGAACTGCTTTGGGGACAGCGAGTCCAGCCTGAGCGAGGTGGAGTTTGTGGGCGAGAGCACAACGACCAGCGACTCGGATGAGAGCGGGGGGCTCATCTGGTCCCAGTTTGTGCAGACGCTCCCCATCCAGGCGGTCGCCGCCGCTTCCGAGCTCCATGAAAATGCAGCCAAAGCCTTCGTCAAGATTAAAGCCTCACACAACCTCAAGAAGAAGATCCTCCGCTTTCGGTCCGGCTCTCTCAAACTGATGACTACTGTCTGAAACGCATAACTAGTAGCTGAAGATGGCGGCAGTGGTGACTGACATGCCTACTGGGGAAGAGTGTGTGTGTTAAGGCAGCCTTCCCGAAGTTGGTGACCTCCAAATGTCTTTGACATTTGTGGAGTTGGAAGGGACCCCTGAGGGTCATCAAGTCCAACTCCACTGCAATGCAGAAATCTCAGCATGCGGTCCCCCATCCAATTTCAAACCATACTGGACCCTGCTTAGCTTTGCAAATGTGCTAGCAGTTTTATATTGCTGCAGTTTGGAGGTCACGGGAGTTGCAGAGGTCGGGGTTCAGGGGAAACTGCAGTGGTTGGGAATCATGGGAATTGCAGAGGTCGGGGAGCATAGGGACTGCAGGGGTCAAGGCTCATGGGAGTTGTAGTCCAAAACATTTGGAGGTCACCAGATAGGGGAGGCGTGGTGTAAGGGTATGTCTGCATTTGGGAGTTTTCGATGTGTCTTGGGCACACTTATTCAGGGCACAGAAGCAACACAAGCCAGCTTCAAGAGAAAATGCACTTTTCGGGGGGGGGAGGGCTTCCCTTGCAAGAGGCGAGGCGCCCCAGCAGAGAATTCATCCGGTCACCTCATGGCTTCACTGCTGGAAGGCACAGGACCCTTTGCTGAGAGCAGCAAAGCGCTCAGCCCGCCACCCTCCAGAGAGGCAGCCATGTTGCATTACGTTATTGTTTGTGTATACATGCTGCCTACCAGCCAAAAGTGCTCCCAAGAACAAACAGATGCATACAAAGACAATAACGCAAGCGCAACATGGAGCAAATGAGAAGGATGCAAATTCAAAATGTTTCGGCAGTATTAAAACCTGTGCACATCGGTGTTTCTGGCAGGCAAAGAGCATTCCCTACAAGGACAAGAATACTTGAGCAGCCCCTTTGTCTCGCGAGGGTCCTGGGCAGCAGGGTTTTGCAAGCCAAGTGGGAAAGCTGGTGCCCCATGAGGCTTGCAGTAGACTCTCCCCCCTGTGACCACGTGCCCAACAGTCAAGCTGACCTCTCCTTGGTCATCTTACGCTCAAAGGTTGTCCACTTGCACTAAGAGCAGCCCAGAACTACTTGCAAGCGAGAGCAGCTCCTCTTGGCTTCTTTTTGAAATGCTAAGCTGGGGCCAGTAGATGTTCTTGTGGGCTTGAATGCCTGTTGCCTGCCCGGAACACCAAACCAGGATGCTGCTTGCCAAATCCGCTTGTAGGTAGATGCTTCAAGCTTCCAAGGCTGCCTCTCCAGTCTTTGAAAAACATTGAAGGGAAGTTAGTAGCTTTTTATTGAGATACCGAGGGAGCAAGCAATATATATCCTGTGAAATGCAAAGCGGGGTGCTCTGTGATTATTATTATTTTTAACGCTAAATAGCCAGCCATTGGGACAGGGGAGAATCAGGATTGGGACTGTGATGGACAGGGAGACAAGCAGTTAACCCTCTTCTTCTGCGTTGCTGAAAATCCCCCTTCCCGCTCCCTCTAAGAAGCTATTGTTTGGCATGAGGAAAAAAGGGGTGGTTCAGAAAGTTAATTTGAGTGGGATCATGGCACTGGGGGAAAAGGTTTTTTGTTTTGTTTTTAACCTTTTCCTTGTGGTCCTGATCCTGATTAGTACCTCCCCTGCAGGAGCTGTTTATTTAAATAATAGTAATAACAGTAACAATGGCCATGGCAAATTATGCATTTAACATAACATGGAACTTGGGCTATGGCAATCAGCCTTGTTACAGTGCTGCCCCTTCCGGTACATCTCAAGGCCAAGGCCCTTCCTGAGACAGACTGCCCTGAGACCTTCAGATGAAGGGCAGCAAACAGATATAATAAACAAACAAAGTAAATAACAGCTTTGCAAAGAGGGCAGGTGCCTAGCTCACAAAACATTTACTCTCCCGCCAGACTACACACACCTGTGTTTAGTCATGTTACAAGCCTTGCAGGAGGGAGTACTGTGGTCAGAGCAAGGTCTCTTCCACTTTACAAAAGCTTTCTTGCTTGGTCACCTGATGGTGATGGTGACTCGCCCTAGGCGACCGGGCAAGTGGCTATTTGCAAGCCTGCTAAGAGCAGAAAAATGAGCAAAGCCTTTCTCTATGCAGAAACTTTACCCACCCTGGTTTCTGGTGCTGCTTCCCTCCTTCCCGGACGTGTGCTAATATGCCAAAATGACGGTCTCATGCAGACGTGCCGAGCATGTATGCGCTCCTCTCGCTACTTACACGAAACAAGGTGCTTCTTGTAAATATTTTCCCAGAATGCTGTTGTTTTGAGTTCCTTAAATGCACATATTTAAATCTTGACGGACTGCTTAAATGATGTTACTTGAACCTCCCAACTTTTTTGTTGGATACTAGTGCCTTTTAAGTGGCAAAACCCACTGTGCTAGTTTTTAACAAAGGAACAGTACCACCACTTTTTCAGCTGTGATGGCTTCAAGTGCATAGTGGAGTGGGAAAAACGTCTGCAGCGAGCGTTGATTTCTCTCCTAGTCGGGGATGGGTCGAAGGACATCTGGACCCTATGCTGAACCTTACTTTGGCTTCTAAACATCCTTGTTTCATACAGAAAAGTTGCTCCTCTACCTCTTCTTACAGAGACAGAAACACACCATTGACATGCATGCAACACACACAATGTAAAAAAGACTGGTGGCTTTTTTTGAGCAGGGGCAACGTGACTTCCCTCTCCTGCGGTCTTCCTTTTCCTCCCTTTTCCTCCCTTTTTTCCAAACAGAATCCCTAGAGTTGTCTGGATGTGGTTTTTAATCTTTTAAAATAAAACTAGAATTCATTTTTAGGATCTCGTAGGAGGCTGCCTTATCCCAGATCATTTGTCAATCTAGCATTGTCTAGGTCGGTCATGCCACCACCTGCCATCCATCTACCTGGAGATCCCAGGGATTGAACCTGTGGCCTTCAGGTGTTCTGCCGTTGAGCTGTGGAAATATGAATTTGCCTTAGGGGGACTGGTCCAGCTAACCCAGTGTCTGTCTAGCGGGAGTTCTTCAGAATCCAAAGGTGGACCTCTTTCTGAACATGGCTAAATGATGTCCTTGAGATGCTGGGGGCTGAATCAAAGATCCTTCTGCACATGTTCTACCTCTGAGCTGTTGGTCTCTTCCGATCCCTTCCCAGTTGCAGCATCAGTCCTGCCCATGTTAAGCACTCTTACTTGATAGCAGAGACTGAGGGGCACATAGCCTTGTATTTTTGTTTTAAAATCCCTGCGAGCCACAGATATTAAATAGGTGGTCCACCCCAGTTTTCCATCCCTGGTTCAGAAAACCTCATTGGCTGTGGTTGGACACAGCGCCCAATGTTTCCTGTAGCAGAATCTGCTGGATGACCTGGAATCTCAAGAGCATGCCCTCTAAATGCCTATTATTATTTGCCTTGTTTTAAGAACAAACTCTAGTGTTCGCAGCTGAGAACCAAGACCTGGAAGTTGTGTTCCAAACACCAAATGAGGCACTGAAACAAAATATTGCGCAGATCTTGAAATTCAGTAAAGGGTCTGGATTCTGAAATCTAGTGTTTCCAATTGCAAACCGATTTTCACGTGTTTTGAACTTCAACACTATGGGGATACTTAAAAAACAAAATAATATACGTGCAACTTAGATTCTGTAATGTTCAGTATCAACGTGCAAGATTTTAATACGTGAAGATATTATTTGTATTCCAAAACCACCTAAACAGATAATTTGGAATGTCAAAATCTCCAAGTGGGTTAATTGTTAAGGATAAGTAGGGGGTTTTTTTTTGGGGGGGGGTTTAAATAAAAAATGACATAAAAATAAGAATTGCCAGATTGGAGGAGATGCTTTAGAGAACAGGTGGGCAGGGATCAGGCTACTGACATCTACCTTGTTTTTTACTAGAACCCCAAGCAGAGATAAGTAGTGGCAGGAGACAGGCATGCAGATAAATAAGATGTACTTGCAGGCCTTTTGCACAAAACAACCACCCTGGTCTCCTCTTCCCCTAAACGTTTGTAGTTTCAGCCAATAGGTTGGGAAGAAGCCTTTTAGATGCAGTTGTTCAGCGTGATCCATGTGCATTGCCTAGTTGTAACAACTCAAGAGAGAGTTGGGACTAGCTGAGTGGCAGAACATCTGCCTTCCATGCTGAAGGTCCCAGGTCCAGCCCTTGGCATCGCCAGGTAAGGCGAGAGAGCCAGGTAAGGCGAGAGAGCCATTTCTGAAACCCTGGAGAGCCACTGCCAGTCTGAGTAGACAATATAGAGCTAGATGAGCCTATGTTGTGTCTTGTTTTAAGGCAGCTCCCCGTGCCCTTACCCAGTTGCGAAGTTCAGTGGTCTTGCTGAACTGCCAGCCAAAACTAGCATGGAGACGTTGGGAATCATAGTTGGAGGAGACCATGTGGGTTTCCTCTGGTCTACAAGGACTTGTCAGTAGCTCTGTGGGGAACACAAGTACAGTATGTTCCCAACCCTACCTGGAGATGACAGGGATTGAAGCAGGGATCTTACTGTGCACAAAGCATGGACTTGTACCACCAAGCGACAGTCCCTTCTCCTTGGCCTGAACCAAGTCTTGGAAGGCTGTGAAAGTTGATAGCCCCCAAAGACCGCTTCCATAGGCCGTTCTTACCCCTGATGTGCTATGAGAAGTAAGCTCTCCTAGACAGCCTTGCGGAAGTCTATGCGGAAGTGGTGGGTGGAGCCAGAGGGGAAGTGGGTGGAGCAACAGAGAGTTGGTTCTTACCTTTTGTAAGGTGGCTTACATTCAGTCAAGAGGTTGGTTTTCACTGTGGTGCCCACCTGACTTCCCTCCTGTGGGGCTGCTGCCACTTGCCAGGAGAGGCAGCAGGGAGCTTGGTGCTGGGGGGGGGGGCAGGGACAGCAGGTAGGGCAGAAAGTGGGGAGCCCAGCAGACGGCAGATCTATAATGTGTGATAGGCTGAGACTGCTAATTCTATCTTTGTCCTCCCTGCTGAGTTTTGCAAGGGCAGAGTAAGGAGGAGGAAGCAGACAATTTAGCTGAGATTCCTGCATTGCAGGGGGTTGGACTAGATGACCCGTAGGGTCCCTTCCAACTCAACAAGTCTGTGATTCTGTGAAGTGGGCAGGCTGAGGTGAGTGGGGCTGAGTTCCAGGGGCCAGACAGAAAAACCTGAAGGGCCACATTGGCTGAACACCTTCCACCCTTTCTGCTCACCGGGTCTGGCTAACTTTAGGGAATAAACAAAAATCCCCTGCTGTTGAAATAGCAGCCTTTGCTCTTGTGTCATGTGGAAATGAACAACCTTGGCAATATTATGTGGCGGTGCTTCAGATAAGGGCATTAGGCGGCTGTGAAACACAGAGATTTGCAATCTCTGAGGAACACTGAATGGACGCTGAGGAGGAACGAGTTCAGTGTGTGTCCTAACAAAAAGACCTGGTGTTTACAGTCCAGTCCGAACTTCGGTTTGAGTAGAGATTATGAGCTTTGTGTTCTGTCACATGGTGCTTCATCCAGCCTTGCACTTCTCTGGTTAATATGTTCCTGGGCTTTGTATGGGACTATCCCGTAGCATAAAATGTGGTGCAGTTAGGGTGTAGCCGTTTCTTTCCATTGCCACGTTTGCGGCTCAGATTATGCTGTGCAGGCTCTGTCTACTTCACGTCTTAAGAACGTGTAAAGAGCTGTGTGCATGTTCAGACCAACGCGCCATCTTCTAGTCAAGCATCCTGTTTCTCAGTGACGAACCAGAGGCCTCTTTTGGAAAGCCAATGAGAAGGACATGAGCTCAAAGCTCTTGCGTTTCTTCCCCTGAGTTGTGACATTCAGTGATGTGGTGTCTCTGGTTCTTGAGGTAGTATTCTGGCACCCTGACTAGTTAACCATCAATAGCCTTACCCTCCATGAATTTGTCTAATCCCCTTTGAAAGCGGCCACAAGTTGGCTGTTGCCACATTTGGTTGCAAATTCCATTATTTATTCTGTGCTGCGTGAAGAAGTCTTCTATCCTGGACTCTGGTTAGGCACTGTCAACTTACAAAGCAGTCTCATACCTCTTTAGATAGTCACCTAAGCACCTTGGGAACTGTAGTTGGTTAAGGATGGCCAAGAATTGCTAGAGGGCCCCTGTGCTCTTTGAAGAACCACAGTTCCCAGATGCTCCCACTAACCATCCCTTTTTTTAGAATAGTGCTTTTGATCATCATGGTTTGTGCTCATGATGATGTCAGGACAGTCAGATGTGATCCTGCAGATGCACTGGGAAGTTCCCTTGAAAGAGGGATTGGATGTTGAATTGCTCTAGAAATTGTAGCTCTGTGAGGGGAACGGGGGTCTCCTAGCAACTCTCAACAAGCCTCAGTTCCTATGATTCTTTGGGGGAAGCCATGACTGTTTAAAGTGGTATGATAGTGCTTTAAATGCATAGTGCAGATGGGGATAAATTGGCTTTCTTGGATGACCTTGGGTTCTGTAAAGGGAGAAAAACTTTATTTCTACTTCATGCCATCTATGATTTTATAATCCTCTTAACGTGCCCACCCCCTTCCTGGCCTTATTTTTCCTAAACTAACTCCCTTCTCTCCCTCTCTCTCTCTCTCTCTCTCTCTCTCTCTCTCTCACACACACACACACACAGTGCAACTTTTCGCTGCATCTCCTTGAACATTTCTGAACCTTCCAGTTCCGCAATATCCTTTTTGAGATGCGGCAGCCAGAACTATACCCAGTATTCAGTATTCTTGATTTCCCACCCTGTGAACTCTGGGGAAAACCAAGAAAGGTTTGGTTGTGTTTTTTTAAAAAAAAAATTAGTATATTGTATAATATTCACTTTCTTAAAACACACACAAATATGCATGTTGTGAGCATGAGCGTCTGTCATGTTGATACTTCAGTCATTGTCCAATAAGCAGCTGTGTTTTACAGCTATATAAAAATCATATCGCTATGTAAATTAATATAATGCATCAATATGCTGTAATAAACAGTTGTCTTTTAAGCCTGTGTTGCATGTGATGCTTTTGATCTACAACCCCACTTTTAAAAAGTGCTGAACAACAACTCCTGTTGTCCTTTGCTATAGACAGATGGACTGGTTGGACGAAGAGGATCAATGGGAGGCCCCAAGGGATCGAGGTTCAAAGCCTGGGGACTGGTTGTGGGACAACAATGAGTGGTAAGAGGGAGAAGACTGGAGGAGGAGGTGGTGGAAGCTGAAGAGGCAACAGGGTTTAGTGAGCAGGAAGAGGCTGTGGCAGAGAGCGGTCCAGAATCAGAGGCAGGAGAGGAAAGGGGTCAGGAGACAGATGAGTCAGGCTGGCAAAGAAGCCAGGGTGTCTCCCGTTCCTGCTGTGACAAGCTCCCCTCCCACCTGGTCTTCCAGAGCCAGAAGAGGTTGAAGAGGGAGGAGCAGAGCCATGCATGTCAGTGTAGTCTCAGATTGCTTGGGAAGGACCCAGAACAAGAGGAGACTCGGGCAACTGGGAAAGTGGGAACCTTCAGTCTCCACAACTGCCTCAGAGAAGCAAGATCTACTGAGAAGAGTTGCTGTGCTTTTTGGACCAGGTTCCCCATAGCAGATCCTGTTTCTTCTAATAAAGACTTAACATACACCATGTGAGTTATTGCTGACCTGTTGGCACCTGTTCCTGGCTGCCATGCTGTTAGGAACTGATGGGAGCTGAAGTCCCAACAACCTCTAGAGGACTACAGGTTCTCCAGACCTGCCTTGGTGGAATGTTATGCTATGGACCCTTCCTTTTGGTTTTAAGATTAGTAAATACTAGTGATGGACTAGGGATGAGTGAGTCCATTTCCATTCCATTTTTAAAGTTGTTTTTTAAAAATAAAACATACAATAAAACACAGGACATTGACGACAAGACATAAAGAGAACACGTGTCATTCAAAATCCAGTCTACCCTGTTTCCCAATAACTTTCAGGAATTTCTTATTTAAGCCCCACAAATGGGAAATGAAACATGTTTGAACGCATGAAGTGAAACCCACAAATTACATTTTTGAACCACAACTCCCATCATCCCTAGCTAGCAGGACCAGTGGTCAGGGATGAAGGGAACTGTAGTCCAAAAACAGTTGGAGACCCCAGTTTGGGAAATACTGACCTAGTCCAGCCCCCTGCAATGCAGGATTCTCAGCTCAAGCATCCATGGCAGATGGCCATCTAACCTCTGCTTATAAACCTCCGAGGAAGAAGATTAAAACTCTTAGGCTTCCTTCCTTCCTTCCTTTCCTTCCTCTTAAGTAAACTACCCAACTCCTTAGGGTCGTCTCAAGCATGTTGTGGCCAAGATTTGTTAGAATGTAAAAAGAGCCTGGCACCTGGATCAGGCCAGTGGCCTACCTAGTCCAGCATCCTGTTCTCATAGTGGCCAACCAGATGCCCCAATGGGAAGCTCGCAAGCCTCACCTGAGCGCAAGAGCCCTCTGCCCTTTTGCAATGGGCATTCGGACTCCTCCTGCCTCAGATAGTGGAGCTAGAACATAGCCACTGGGTTTTGTAGCTATGAAGTTCATTGGGTGATACGGCCACTGCCTACCTACCTCACAGGGTTGTTGTGGAGCAGGGAAACCATTGTTGTTGTTGTTTAGTTGTGTCCGACTCTTTGTGACCCCATGGGCCAGAGCATGCCAGGCACTCCTGTCTTCCACTGCCTCCCACAGTTTGGTCAAACTCATGCTGGTAGCTTCAAGAACACTATCCAACCATCTCGTCCTCTGTCGTCCCCTTTTCCTTGTGCCCTCAATCTTTCCCAACATCAGGGTCTTTTCCAGGGAGTCTTCTCTTCTCATGAGGTGGTCAAAGTCTTGGAGCCTCAGCTTCACGATCTGTCCTTCCAGTGAGCACTCGGGGCTGATTTTATTCAGAAAGGATAGGTTGGATCTTCTTGCAGTCTATGGGACTCTCAAGAGTCTCCTCCAGCACCAGAATTCAAAAGCATCCATTCTTCGGCGATCAGCCTTCTTTATGGTCCAGCTCTCACTTCCATACATCACTACTGGGAAAACCATAACAGGGAAACCACGGGCAGTTTCAAATTAAATGAACAGTTCCCACCTATGATTCCCAGAAACAGGTTATTGGAAACATACTCAGGTTCAAGTTCAAGTAACCTTTATTGGCATCACATAAGAACATTCAGAATACATTCAGAATAGATAGGCCAGTGCGATCTCGTCGCCGCCCCAACCGCACAGTGACCCGCCAAAGGGCAGAAGAGGCGAGCAATCCGCCTCATCGCTGTGGGTTTCAGCAAGGGCAGGATCCTGTAGCATACAGGACAAAAAAATCAAATAGAGGAACTTAGCTACTGTCTTGGTGAGCTCCAGGTCTCTCCCCTGTAAAAAGAAGCGCATAACCTCCGTCTCTGGTTGGAAACATACTGCCTCTGACAGTGAAGGGAGAACATGGTCATCATGGCTTGTAGCTGATAAGGCTGATCCTCCACAAATTTGTCTCTTAAAGCCATCCAAGCTGGTTTAAATCTTCTGGGAGCAAATCCCCCAGTTTAACTATGTGTTCTGTGAAGGAGACTTCCTTTTGTTCTGTAATCTAGTTCGCACACCCCTCCAGATATTTCTAATTGCACCACCAAATCTGTTGGCAATGGACAAGGAATTCCCCAGTTTTATCTCCTGCAAAGAGGAGTGTCAGGCGTTGCCACAAAGAACTACTGCCCTTGTAACTGGAAAGAAGAGTTATAAATCAGGAATTTTCCAATGATTCCTACTAATTGCAGTGCGATTGCATCTTATCCCCCTTGTCAAGTGGCTGAGCCCTCCTTTAAAGACAACTTAAGCCGAACAGCTTAAGGAATGGCCTTTTCGATAAGGAGACAAGAGGAACCAAATCTCCCCATCATATATATAAAAAAGTGAATGATTGGCCGACAGCAGTAGCAACATCCCTGCTAGGTCCTTTAAGGGTAGTTGGTGAGATTTGTTGATCTCATCTTCCACTTAGTAATGAGTTTCTGAGGCTTTTCAAGGTGGAACGTTCTTTTAAAGAAAGACAAAAAGAATTGTCTTCAGAATTGTGTCCCAAAATCGGCTTCAGCAGAGATTTGGTGAGGCTGGATTTTCATAGAAATACTGAAATTTGGGAGTATTGTGGAAATTATTATTAGTCAGGTGCCTAAAGTTTTCTGGGCACTGTATGAGGACCGTAAAAGGTGCTAGTCCTTGCCAAAAGGCTTGCAATTGAACAGGATTACAAATTTAGAAAGTGGCGGGAAGCAGGGTTTGGAGAACAAGCAAATTCAGACAGGTCAGAAGCTTTCTACATACATAATTCACATAATATTTACAGGATCATAAATTCACACATTGCTAAGGGTGTTTTTGCAAGTGACGCTGAAGCTGCCTTGTTTTATCAGTGGGAGCTGCAACTCAATGTTGCAGTGTGGTTTGCTTCTGCTCAGGATATGCCCTCCCCGAACCCTGCTCAAGTCAATCAGTAATGTGTGATCGGTCATCTTCATCGGGATGTTTTAAGGAGCGTCCCCTATGTAGAGCTCTTCCCTAAAGATTTCTGCACTTCTGCAAATCTGCTGGTGCTTCCAGAGCTACTGATATATGTAATGATCGGCACTTGCCTCCTGAACATTTAAAATAATAGGGAATTATTTATCCGTGGTGCCCCCCAACAGCGTACAAGGCTTTGTAAACACATAATCTTTGTAGTAATACCTTGATGCATATATAGTGATTGCACGTGAGAAGGAAAGAACTGAATGCACAGGAAATCAGTTGGGGATGAAGGGAGCTGAAGTTCAGGAAAAATCTGGAGGGCCACAGGTGTAATCCCTGGAATCCGAATTTAAAAGGATCTCTGGTAGAAAGTGATGTGGTAGAGAATACAAGGACCACTGGCTCCCGGTGGAGTACAGGATCAGGTTTAAGGTGCTGGTTTTAACCTTTAAAGCCCTATACGGCCTAGGACCCTTGTACCTATGGAACCGCCTCTCCTGGTACGTCCCATGGAGGACCTTATGGTCTTCAAACAAAAATATCTTGGAGGTCCCGGGCCACAGGGAGGTTAAGCTGGCCTCAACCAGAGCCAGGGCTTTTTCAGCTGTGGCCCCGATCTGGTGGAACGCTCTGGCACAAGAGACTAGGGCCCTGCGGGACTTGACATCTTTCCTCAGGGGCTGCAAGACAGAGCTGTTCCACCAGGCCTTTGGCCAAGGCGCAGTCTGACCCCTCCTTTGGTAATCAGCTTTGGCTGGGGAGGGCGGGATATAAATAAAAATTATTATTATTATTATTATTATTATTATTATTATTATTATTCGTTAGGAACCCCATTCCCCTCACAGAGCTACAACTTGCAAATTCTGAGAATTGTAGTTCTGTGAGAAGAATGGGAGTCTTCTAACAGCCCCCAGCAGCAATAACACCTCCCAGAATTGTGTGGGTGTGTGTACATTTTAAAATTTATTTTCCATTTAATTATATACATTCACATCATTATTATCCACTTTACCACCCTGGATCTTCAGAGTCATTGACTTCCTTCCCTCCCGCCTCATGGCTATCAAAATAAACCTTTATATCATTGCATTTTGTACGTTTTCCAATTCTATAATTGCATTCATTACAAAATGACTCAAAATTTAAATAAACATAGAAAGGTAGAAAATTTCTCATTACAAGTCTTTGGACAACCCTGCTAATGATGTAAATTGCTTACAATAATATTTCAAATATCATATAAATTTACTCCAGTCCTTTTGGAATACTTGATCATGCTGGTTTCGGATTTTTCCTGTCAGCATTGCCGGTTCTGCAAAGTCCATCATCTTCATCCGCCACTCTTCTTTCATTGTTTCCATTTTTTGGAGCATACATCAACAAATAACTTTACGTTATGGGGGTTTCTGAAGGGCTGGGAGATCAGAGCAATAAAGGAAAGAAAAAAAATATTAAATCTCCTTCCCCCTAGAATGAATTTCATCCTCTGGATTAGTGGGCTAGGAAGGGAAGAAAGAAACCCGTAGAGTTTGAAAAAGAAAGGAGGACAAAAGCCAGGATACATTTGGCAAAGGGGTTTGAACAGGAGATCTGTAGAGACATCTAGACCTAGGCTGCAAATAGCAGAATTCTTTGGGGGAAGCTGGAATTATTTAAAGTGGCATCGTAGTGCTTTAAATGTTTGGTGTGCGAATGTCTTGTCGGAGTCTGCTTCCGATGTTCATATGTACACCTAGGAAAGCTTTCCTTGCGGTGATGGAAAGCACTGGATTTTTTTGCCCTTGAGTTGAGCGCACATCTGTTGAAGCACCTATTCAGCCCCAGGAATTCAGGAATGAGAGACTAATTAGATTAATTAGATCTCGAAAATGAGTGTTAAAGCTGCACTCCCTGACTCCTGACTTTCCCTAGCTGTCTCTCCCCCACCACTTGACAGATAGCCCTACGACACTAATTTGTGTCTGAGAGTGAGTCCCAGTCATTTCCCCCCCAGAGATTTTAGATTAAAGTTGTCTGACTCTTCCTCTTTCTCATCTATAACAGTCTGCTCTGTGAGTGCTTAGAGCTCTCAAATTTCGCCGCGGCCTTCCTTCCCCCTTTGAAATGAGAAGCATCACCTTTGCCCCATCCCTGTCTCTCATCCTTATCTGACTTTCATCCCAGTATCCTGTGCCCATTAAATTATCCTCCCTGCAATTAAATTTTTGCAAGAGAAATTTAATTGACAAGGTCCTTTGCATTTTTGTTGTTGTTGGGTTTTTGCTGTTGGTGATTTTAATTTTCTTGTGGGTTTTTTAAAAAATTCTGCTCTGCAAGTGATTAATCCTCCGAGTGGCTAATGAGGTTTAAAACACAAAACAACTTTTTATTCATTTTCCACATGCCGTGTGCAGGTAAATCACTAATATCCAGTGCAGGTTAGTAATGCAATTAGCATACAGAGAAAAGGGGAGCAACAATGATTATACAATGGTACCTCTAGTTAACGAACTTAATTTGTTCTGGAGGTCCGTTCTTAACCTGAAACCGTTCTTAACCTGAGGTACCACTTTAGCTAATGGGGCCTCCTGCTGCCGCTGCGCCGCCGAAGCACGATTTCTGTTCTCATCCTGGGGCAAAGTTCTTAACCCAAGGTACTACCGGGTTAGCGGAGTCTGTAACCCGAAGTGTTTGTAACCCCAGGTGTTTGTAACCCGAGGTACCACTGTAATGATAAAGTGTCTTGGGTTGTTCCCAGAGTTGGTGAGCCTCAATTGAAAAGGATGAGAAAGTGAGCCTTAATTTCATCAACCCAGTCCTGTGGAACACCCTGCCACTGGAGATTCAGCAGGTGTCTTCTGTGCCAACTTCTAAACGCCTGCTGAAAACTTTTATTTTGCCAGGCCTTAGTAGGCAGTTAAGAGTACATCCCCAACAATGGTCTATTGATGCATGTTTTTTATTTCTTTTTGCTTTTAACTTTTCTTTATTACTAATTATTCTTTATCATCAAATAAAATAAACCCGAATGAAACATTACCAAAGAAAGTCGAATATAAAATATACATTCAAAGCAACGTAATTAACAGAAGACTAAAATATTACCGTATTTTTCGCTCTATTACATGCACCGGACGATTGGACGCACCTAGTTTTTAGGGGAGGAAAACAAGAAATAAGAAAGGAACGCAAAGCATCCTGAGCTAAAAGGGAGCGCTCCTCCCTCTTCGCTCAGGAGGCTTTGCGGGGCTACCCCTGAAGCTAGGAGAGCAAGCGGGATCAGTGCACACCGATCCCTCTTGCCCTCCTGGCTTCAGCGAAAGCAAGCCTACCGGCTTTCCTCCCGCAAGAGCCGTGCGCTCTTTAAAGGGAGCGCGGCTCTTGGGGGCTTTTCTGGGAGGTGGGGGAAGGGATAGAGCCACACGCTCTGTCCCTTCCCCCACCTCCTGCAAAAGCCAGGGATAGCCGCACAAAGCCTCCGCAGGGGAGCGGGATGAAGGCTCCCTGCTGCCCTGCGGAGGCTGCGCGCGGCTATGGCATAAGCCATAGATGGATCCTGCTGGCTGTCCTGGCTTCTTTAGCTGAGCGCAGCCTCTCCCGGCCGGAGAGGCTGCGCGCGGCTAAAGAGGAAGCCGGAGAGGCTGCGTGGCTTCTATGGCAGAAGCCAAGACAGCCAGCGGGGTGGATCCTGCTCGCTGTCCTGGCTTCCTCTTTAGCCACACGCAACCTCTCCTGGGCAAGGGGAGCCTTCATCCCCTGCCCGGGAGAGGCTGTGCGTGGCTAAGGCTCCCCTTAGAGCCGTGCTTCCCTCCTCGGGAAAAGCCCCCAAGAGCTTCGCATGGCTCTTTAATGGGAGTGCTGACAGAGCCTCAGGCCTGCATTCGCTCCATAAGACGCACATACATTTCCCCTTACTTTTTAGGAGGGGAAAAGTGCGTCTTATAGAGCGAAAAATACGGTATATCTTAAAGATTTCAAAATAAAACATTGCAAAGAAGATCAACTACAGAACAGGAGTGCCATCTTGGACATGTAACCGTGGGTCTGGCACAGAAATGTGTGGGTCCCTGGCCCCTTCCTGGAGTATTTTGTGGGTGCTCGGGCACCCAGGGCGTTGGCCCCTATGCTTACAGAATGCACATTCAACGCAGCAAAGTTAACAAAAAGCCTTAAACATTTCAAAAGAAGTGACCAGAGAAGGAATGTCTTCCGGCAGGAGTGCAGAGATAAGAAACACCCTGCAGCAGCGCAACTGGCCTCCTCCATCTGCCCCGGCTGCAACAAAACATGTCTCTCCTATATCAGTCTTTACAGCCACAGTAAGCACTGTAACTTTCTTGGGCTGCCACATGTCTGGATTTCCCCAGATTTTACTGGGATTTCAAAGGCGTAATTGACGTCTGGGAGAGAAGCATTCGAAAGGCGGCGCTTTGTCCTGAATCTTAGGCAAGTCAATAGAAAAATTGCGGTGTTTTGGCGTGTTTGTAAAATAAAACAACTCAATCATTTCAGTAGCTTCCTAAAGATGCACTCTTGCATTGCCTCCCGAGACTGATGGATGACAGCAAATGCATGCTATAGCCCTTCTCCAAAGCACAGTGCTCAGATCACGAGAAGTAATAATTCCTCTCTATTCCGCATTCAGCATGTGATATAACAACTTTGCTAGCGGCCTAGGACCGCCTCTCCTGGTATGCCCCGTGGAGGACCTTAAGGTCCACAAATGACAACATTCTGAAGGTCCCAGGTCGCAAGGTGGTTAGATTGGTCTCAACTAGGGTCAGGGCCTTTTCAGTACTGGCCCCGACTTGGTGGAACGCTCTGTCACGAGAGACCAGGGCCCTGCGGGACTTGACATCTTTCCGCAGAGCTTGCAAGACAGAGCTGTTGCGCCTGGCCTTTGGTTTGGACTCAGTCTGACCCTTATGTTTCCCTCCCCTTATGGTTTTGATCTATGGGCTACTTTTAAAATGAGGCTGCATTTTAAATTGCATTTTAACCTGTATTTTAAATTGGTTTTTCCCCCTATTATGTTTTTACTGTAATTTTACTGGTGTTAGCCACCCTGATCCCGGCTCTGGCCGGGGAGGGTGGGGTATAAATAAAATTTATTATTATTGTTATTATTATTATTATTTTGGGAACTCTGTCTGAAGCACTGAACAAATCTATGCAGGCTAGCTGTAGCATCTCTGTTTGCAACCATGTTTTCCGGAGGGTTGTAAGCAAAGGTATATTTTGAGATGAACGTTTTAAAAATTAGCTTAGCGATATATGCCAAGCCCCAGATACTCTTGGAAACAGTATCCCCCCCCGCCCCCCAGTGCTTTACTGAGCCAGGAAAAGCTGCATTTTCACATTGCAAAAAACCCCAAAATGGATTCTTATTGCCAGTGTTGGAGGCTGCACAGATGGAAGACCACAGAAGGCACTGCTTAAAGGTCACGGGGATAAAGTTGCCCCAAATCTGGTACAGTAAACCTAATACCTGGACAACTGGCTAGACCTTTGCTTTGTTTCCTAGAAGAGGAGGCTCTCCCCCGTGGAAGACGAGCATCAAAGCTCCTCTTCGTGGAAACCCAACAAAGATCTGTATCGTTCTGCCTCTGGCACTTGGAGGAAAAGTGATTGACAGGCGAGAAGCTCTTTGTGGGCAAATGCAGCTCAGGAGTTCACCGCTGTTCAAAGATGTGGTGCCTGCACTTTTAATCTCCGGCATTTGCTGTGGATTTTAGACAAACCAGAGATAGCATCTTGGGTGCATTAAGCAGACCTGCTAACCTTTCCTAGGCTGGGTCTTCAATAAGGATTGGGTGTCAAAGATGTGGATGATATATATATATACACACACACACACACACACATATACATACATACAGTGGTACCTCGGGTTACATACGTTTCAGGTTACAGACTCCGCTAACCCAGAAATAGTGCTTCAGGTTAAGAACTTTGCTTCAGGATACGAACAGAAATCGGGCTTCAGCGGTGCGGCGGCAGCAGGAGGCCCCATTAGCTAAAGTGGTGCTTCAGGTTAAGAACAGTTTCAGCTTAAGAACGGACTTCCGGAACAAATTAAGTACTTAACCCGAGGTACCACTGTGTATATATATATATATAGCCATTTCTCTATGCAGGGTTCTGTCTTGTGTTGCGGGACATTCTAACCAAATGCAATAAATATTTTTAAAAAACAACAGAGTGATGAGTAAGGTTGTTTTGAATAAGAAACTGTTCTGTTGGGCTTTTTTCTACTACAGTGGTACCTCTGGTTGTGAACAGGATCTGTTCCAGAGCCCCGTTCGCAACATGCAACCTGTGTCTGCGCATGCGCGGGTCGCAATTTGTCGCTTCTGCGCATGCGTGTGACGTCATGTTGAGTGTCTGCGCATGTGCAAGCGGCAAAACCTGGAAGTAACCCTTTCTGGTACTTCCGTGTCGCCGCGGGACGCAACCTGAAAAGATTTAACCTGAAGCAAATGTAACAAGAGGTATGTCTGTACAGGGGTCCCAGAGTTCCTTGTGAAGATGAACTGATGATTAAACCACTTTGGAAATTGTAGCTGGGGTGGGTGGGTGGGAAGAGGGGTTTGCTAACAAACCGCAGCACCCAGAATTCTTTGGGGGAAGCCGTGACTGTTTAAAGTGGTTTAATACTACTTTAAATGAACAATGCAGATGGGGTAAATTGGATTTGTTGGGTGATCTTTATTCTTATTCTTATTCTTAAAATTTATGCAGCGCCCTTCAACACAAGATCTCTGGGCAGGTCACAGAATAAAATACAAGATAAAAACACTAGGAAATAATTAAAACAAAAACAACAAAACAACAACACCCCCCAATATATTACTATTCTATAAGAATCTATTATATCCTTTGCTGTCCCATATATTATTTTATTTCCCAAATTCAACCTAACCATCCCCTCCTCCCCACTGCTTCCTTTCACCTGTGTGAGATCTTCCCATCATAATATTTTTTTCTAGTTGCTTTCATAAAATAGAATAACATGAAAACTGTTAAATTATAATTACTTCTTTTGTCCTTACACGCTTAACAATTGCCTAGGCAGTTCTTGAGGTATTGTGGTCCTGAGCATTTATGGGGTTTGGTAGAGGGAGAAAAACCAGTGTTTCCTTTTTTGTTTAAACCCTGAGACAACAATTAACATCTTGGTCACGCCTTCTGGTTTAACGTGTGGTTAAACCTATAGTTTAAACCTATGGTTACACCCATGGTTTAACCTATGGGTTCTCACTGGGGGGGGGGGGAAACCCCCATTTGCTGCAAACTTATGCAGTCTCTAAACCCTTTCTTACCATAGCAAACCTTGCCCAGTGAGACATCTTTATCTGCAGTGTGGAATCTTTATCTAATATCTTTTCATTCGGTTGCTATTGCTCTCCCTGCAACAGATGAAAGAATACTAACCGTATGCAATTCTCCCTGCCATTGCTAATACTGCGATACTCATTTGTCTCTCCTGAGCAGCTACAATTTGGCGGGTAGATTCTCTGGGCTCTGAAAACAGGTTGCGTTCAGCCCTGGAATTGAAAATAACCACATTCTCCATCTTTGAACCGTGACTTGCTTGTCTGGAGCGTTAAATAAAGGCAACATCTTCCCGGTGGCTGCCGCAACGTCAGGTGGGGGCACAGAAGTCACCCACCCCTGCCTTTTCGCAACCTGGTTTTTGCTTTCCGAGGGAAGGGAGAGAGTTCTTAAGCTTGGGAAACTGTAGCACACTCAGGGAGAATAAACACAGCTGTTCCGATGAGGAAATGACCTGCCATTTGATTGAAAATAGTGTTGCTTTTTAAAAAATAATAATAATCTCATTTTATGAGTGCGTGTAAGACTCTGTGGGAACCACAGGGCTTACTGATCTCTTCTTATGTCAGAATTGTGGCCCTTTTAATTGTACTTTACTCAGAATAATATGAGCTCATGATGGTAGTTACATATCCCACTTCCAGGACTGCCTGCTCCTGCAAAGGTTTTGGGGTTGGGCCTATTGCTTCACTTCCAATCAGTGCGTGTCCTGGAACTTCCAGCTGAAACCCAAGAACCACAGAATTTTAGAGCTGGGATGGTTCCTAAGGGTCATCTACTCCAACCCACTGCAATGTACCTTTTTTTTTATGTAGACAAATTTTAATGAAATAATTTGCACTTTAAAGTATGCATAGGAAATAGCAATAAACTTTGACAGAAAGGAATCAAAAACCCTTCTTAGAGAAAGTTTAAGAGTCCATTCAACAGCAAAACCAATTAAGGAAAAAAATCAAGTTTTATCCAGAGGAACAGCTCAAATGACTTTACTCCAAGTAAACTCTGAAAGTTACCATACTTTTGGTCCAAATCGTAGTTTTCGAGTTGGCAGGTAGGATATAGTGAAGTCTATGACCGAACAAAGGTCCGTATAGTTAAAGCTATGGTTTTCCCAGTAGTGAT